CGCCTGGCGGAGGACGGCTGGAGGGACCTGGGCTACGAGTACATCAACATCGACGACTGCTGGTCTGCCAAGCAGCGGGATGCGGCGGGACGGCTGGTTCCCGACCCCGAGAGGTTTCCCAGGGGGATTAAGGCCCTGGCTGACTATGTGAGTGCCCGCTGGGGATGGTGGGGGGGTCTCTGTGTCCCCATGCTGCCCGGTTCCCGGGAGGCACCTTGGACCCCCTCATCCCTTCCTTGCAGCTCTCCTCTCCTTGCAGGTCCATGCCCGGGGCCTGAAGCTGGGCATTTATGGTGACCTGGGCACCCTCACCTGGGGTGGCTACCCAGGCACCACGCTGGACCGTGTGGAGCAGGATGCCCAGACCTTTGCAGAGTGGGGTGTGGACATGCTGAAGCTGGATGGGTGCTACTCGTCGGGAGAGGAGCAGGCGGAGGGTAAAGGCTCCCCATCTGGCTGGCGTTTCTCCCCTTGCTGCTTTGGTCAGGGTGGCTGGCCGTCCGCAGAAACGCTTGGCCAGCTTTGGTTCTTCCCTCGTGCCTCCTGTTGCAGCTCTTGGGCAAAGAGGAAGGAGTTTGGGTGCCCTAGAGCTGGTGTAAGGCAGGAGGCCAGGCTGGCCTGGGATCCACCTGACTGGGCAGGCTGTGGACACAGGCTGCTGCCAGCCGTCTCCTTCACCAGTTGTCTTCTCCTCTCCCTAAGGCTACCCAGAAATGGCGAGGGCCTTGAACGCCACAGGCCGCCCCATCGTCTACTCCTGCAGTTGGCCAGCGTATCAGGGGGGGCTTCCCCCCAAGGTGAGGGTTGTCCCATCCAGTGGCTGTTTCCCGTGTGCCCTCTGCTCTCCGGGAGCTCTTGTTGGAGCTGCAGGAGCTGGGTGCTACACCCCGCTTATCGCTCCACCCCTGGTAGGGTGGGGCTGCAGGTCCCTGGGGAGGATGTGGCCTCCCTGCCAGGCATCTGGGGACACCTGGGATTCCCAACGTGGCTAGGTGATGGGAGTTTGGGGGAAGAAGGCCCTGGGGCGTGCCCTCTCCACCCCACTTGGCTGGTGTGGGGTTGATCCTGGCAGTCTGTTCTTCTGAGATGGGTCCTGTCTGGTTTAAGTGCTTGAAATAGGATGTTCCTCCTAGTAATGTTTCTTGAGAACTGATTGTATTTATTTATTTCCTCTTTCACCTTCTGAGTGAATCCTGAGCTGCCCTCATTCTTGCAACTGATCATATTTCCCCATGGCCTCTGTGGTTGTTTTGCTAGACATCCTGTCATACTGGGATGTGCCCAGTCCTATTGGGATAGGACTGTCCTCCTTCATTATGTGATGTTGCCCTTCTACACATCCCTGTGCTTTGCAAACACCAAACATCTTCTGGATGCTGCAGCTCTCAACAAATCTGGCTGCCCCTTCTCCCCCAGCTTGCAGACCCCGTCCTTTCTCCCTCCTGCCTGACCCTGTACTCCTCTCCAGGTGAACTACACCATCCTGGCAGAGATCTGCAACCTGTGGCGTAACTATGACGACATCCAGGACTCCTGGGACAGCGTGCTTTCCATCCTGGACTGGTTCTCTGCAAACCAGGACGTGCTGCAGCCAGCCGCTGGCCCCGGCCACTGGAATGACCCGGACATGGTGCGGCTGGGTGGTGGGTGCACTGACCCTGACTGGGGACAGGGATTCTCCAGGGATCCCCCTTCTAGGGGCAGGGCGAAGGAAGAGCGCCGGGAGCAGGAGCCCTCTTGCTGCAGAGAGGCAAAGCTCGTGTTGCCCTTGGCTAAGCTGTGGGAAAAGCCTGTGGTTGCAATGAACCCTTCACCGCTCAAGTATACCTGTCCTGTTGTCCAGGTGTCCCTGTCCTTCCCTGCACAGGCTGAGGGGGGATAGTTGTGAAGCGAGGGGTGTTACTGAGTGCGTTTGAATGTGTGCTGACGGCTCAGCACCTAGCAGGGGTGGGATGTCCTGGCAGTGGTAGGCTGCTCGAGGGGAAGGAAAAGTGTGTGTGAGGTTTCCCATGCGTGCTTCCCCCCAGCAAGCTGCAGCATCACCAAGTGTGGCAAGCAGACCAGTTTCTAACCCTTTTCTGCCTCTCCTGTCTTTTCCCCCTCTCCCTTCCAGCTCATCATTGGAAACTTTGGCCTTAGCGATGAGCAGTCCCGCTCCCAAATGGCCTTGTGGACGGTGATGGCAGCTCCGCTCCTCATGTCCACGGATCTCCGCACCGTCTCCGCGAGCGCCAAGGAGATCCTGCAGAACCGCCTGATGATCCAGATCAACCAGGACCCCCTGGGAATCCAGGGGCGCAGGATTGTCAAGGTTAGGGGGAAGGCAGATGTGTTTGGGAGAGCAGACAGGAGCAGCACAGGGGGTCACAATAAGGAGGGAGAGGGAGGCGATGCAGAGAAGCATGAGCAGGAGAGGTGTGGGAGCTGGGGACCTACTGGCATAGCAGCCCTGCAGGGCAAGGTCAGAAGTTATGGGCCAGCGCTGGTTGCGGCAGCTCTGCCTCATCTACCCATCCCCACCCCTAGGAGAAATCCCACATCGAGGTGTTCCTGCGCCCGCTATCCCAGGCCGCCAGTGCCCTTGTCTTCTTCAGCCGGAGGACGGATATGCCCTTCGTCTACACCACCAGCCTGGCCAAGCTCCACTTCCCTGAGGATGCCGTGTATGAGGTGAGCCCCACTGGCATGCGGCATGGCGGGGCAGCCCCACGGCACCTGGATCCCGCTCTTTCCATCTTCCCCTGTTGACACCCTGTGCATTTTTGGGGGGGAAGGACTCCCTGCCTCCAGGATGAAGGGTCGCACTCCTGTTGCCCACTGCTGTGCCCCGTCCCCCCATGCCATGTCAGTGACCATGGCTGGACCTCAAGATGAAAGGTCTGTGGAAATCCTGGTAGCCCCATCTCTTTTCCAGGTACAAGATGTGTACAGCGGGAAGATCATCAGCGGCTTAAAGACGGGAGACAGCTTCTCGGTCGTTATTGACCCCTCAGGGGTGGTGATGTGGTATCTCTCTCCCATGGCGCTCCCGGCGCAGCCCTGGCATGTTGTCAGACAGCAAGCCCCCGGCGAGGGTTTCCACCCGGTCCTCCTGTGACGAGGCTCAGCGGATCAGGGTGTGGGTCAGCGCCAGGGTGAGCCACAAGACCCTGGGGCATGTGGCTCTTCACTGCCTTTCGCTGGTGTGCCCAGCAGTGCTGGGGAGTGACCGTCAGGTCATTCCTCCGGTACCACCTTGATGACGTCTACTCGGTCTGCGTAAAGCAGGAATTCTTCTTACCCACCTCCTAAGGGTGTGCAGAGCATGATTCCTCGGTGATTGCAAAGCCCTTTGAGATCCTCCTGTGGAAGATGCCATACAAGCAGAGTCCAGCCACTGTTGGAGTTTGTCAGCTCTGACACCTGAGCACTTTACCGCTCTGAATTGAGCATCACTAACCACTGCAGGGGCTGTTTGAACTATGCCTGTAGAAAGGCCTTGGATGCTTTAGAATCTTCTAGGGTGGTGACCCCCCTCTCCCCGCCATGTGTGATGGCATTAGCTTCAAGGATCAGACCTGGCCACCTTCTTTCCTCTGCTATAATCAGCTTGGCTTAGAATAACGGGCTGTCAATAGGGCTGCGCCCTTCCCATGTACCCTCCCCAGGACCAAGAGCTCCTGGAGGCATGATGGTCCTGTGCAGAGAGGCTTTGCTTGCAAGCCTGATCCTGCCGCCAGGATCCTGGAGGCCAGCACTACTACAGCCTAGCATGCACGCTAGCATTGGATTAAAGCCCCTCTGGTATCAGTTTACAGCAGAGCAGAGCAAAAACCTGAGCTGGCCATGCACAACCCCAGCAGCCTTGCTGTGGTACGGCACCAAACACTGCAGAGCCGCAGCGTGTTGTGCACGAGTGGTGTCGGGAAGGTGCTGATGCTCATTTGGAGTCTTTTGAGTTGGGAGATGATGACAGGTGCCTCCGAGCTGCAAGCTGCATCCTGTTCTTGCTCTAGCAGGAAATTCCTGCTAAAAGGGGGCTCAGGCCTTCCTCCAGTGGGCTGAACAGTTGGGCTTTCTCAGGGAGGGACTCCTCCTTCTCCCAAGGGCAGCTACATGCACAGCCCCATCCTGAGGAGGAGCCTACGCTAATAAACTGGAAGTGAGCGGCAGGACAGACTCTAGAGCCCTCAACTGATTCACCTTTACACAGCACACATCCTACGGAGGAGTTTTAGGTGGGACGTGGCCCACCCCGACTGTCCCAGAGAGGGTGCAGCATTTGTGAAGATTGCCTCTAAAGATTGTAGCCCAGGGAGACCGATAAGATTAATCCTCAGACCAGAGAAATACCACATTTTAGATTAGCCCCTCCCCCCCTCCCCAAAAAAACAGTTTCCCTTTTCTATTCAGATGATGAAGGAGGGTTGGGTGCCCACGCCGGTTCCTGCAGGACCGGCAAATCAGCCATTTGGCTGATTCTGGCCACTTCCAGAAACTTCTCTGAGTGTAGCAGCAAGATACTGAACACGCTGCTTGCAGTGCTAACAGGAAAGGACGAATGCACTTCATGTCTGTATACAGGAGCTGGCTTTGTTCTTGGGGAGTGATTGAGACAAATTAACTAAAATAAAAGGGAAGCAGGTCACAGGCTCTCTGTTTCATGTTTATTCAGTGTTGCTAGCTATAGCTACGTGGCTAATGTAGGATTACAGGGTCAGAACCTCAAAACAGGAACAACTTAGCTACAAAATAGAACTGGTTTCCTGTCAGAGGCTGGGCTGATGCAGAGTAGAAAACTGCTTTCCAGGAGT